GGGAGAAGGTCTATCAGTGGCTATTAGCCACAAGGTATAGATAGGAACTGTCAGGCTGGGGCAAGTGATGCTCTGTATTCTTGGTGCCCGGGGGGGGGGCCACAGTGGGAGGGCTTCTGGAGTTCTGGCCCTGCTGGTGGACCTTCTGAGGGCACCTGGGTCTTGGCCACTGTGTGACACAGAGTGTCGGACTGGATGGGCCACTGGCCTGATCCAATATGGCTGCTCTTATGTTCTTAAATCCCTACCAAGCTCTGATGTTCACTGGGCAACCCGGGCCAGTCCCTGCCTCTCAGCCTAACCCTACTTGGGGCAGGGTTGTTGGGAAGATGAAAAAGGGTGGCTGGAGAGCCGGTCCTGGGCTCTGTGGAGGACAGGGGGCACAAGAGGAAGACATCAAACTCAACAGACAGTCGGTGGCCCCTCCAAAGCCCTGATTACAAATCACACCGCCTGAAGTGCAGACGACCTGCTCCAAAGCCCTGATGGTTCTCCCCTGCAGAGGTTAGGCAAACGGAAACAGGTTTCCCAGAAGGCACATGCAACAAGCTCCGCCCCCTGCTCCCAGCAGCCCTCGGTCAGAGCAAGAAGCAGCCAGGCAAGTTGCAGAGCTTCCCCCGGTCCAAAACAGTCCAGTGGTACCTTTAAGACCAAGTTTTATTCAGGTACAGGCTCTCCCTCCTCTGCGAGGACAGATCTGCACGATAGCTAGCCATCCAAAACAGTCCAGTGGAGCCTGAGCGGTGGGTGTTGCCTTTCGACACACTTCCGGTGATGTCAGGGGGCGTGGCATATGCAAACGAGTTATGCTAATGAGCTGGGAGCACTGTCCAGAGAAGACAAATACTTGGGACCCCAGAGGGCGCACCGGCTCCCCCACCCCCATTACCTTCCATGCCGGGCTCAGCCTCATGTGAAGCTAGGATGCTGAGGCGACGTGAGCTTCCCCATCAGCTGTTGGAGGCGCCAATAGTCCGCTTCAATATCCTAGCGGAGAGAGACAAACATGAAAAAGGAACTCGCCTCGGGAGGGGGCTGGGGGAGAGAGAGAACGCACAAGCACACGGCAAGAGCACACAATGGCCTCTGGCCTGCCTGCGCTCACCTCTCTTCGGGTATCTCCAACGTGGTGCTCGGGGGCACCACAGTGCTCCCGCACTCCTTTCCTGCTGCCTGCCGTGGGTTTTTTTAGAAAGCAGGCAGGGCCAGATGCAGGCCCATAACCAGTGATCCCTCTAAGCTGAGTTAGAGTGAGCTAGCTCACAGTTTTGTAGCCTCCAGCTCACGCATTTTTCTCTTAACTCAGGAAGGATGGCTCCAGAGCAAACTGATTTATGCGGTAGCCCAATCATTTGCTCACAGCTTTAATGCCAGGAGCTCACAAAGTAGAATTTTTGCTCACAAGACTCCACAGCTTAGAGGGAGCTTTGCCCATAACCAGGATTTTTTTAAATCCTGGGGGGCTTCGAGGTTCTGGGGGGGCGGCCACTGGTGCCAGGTGGGGCTTAATTTGGTGAGGGGAGGGGAGGAAGAAGAGAAGAAGAAGAGAAGAGATTGGATTTATACCCCGCCTTTCACTCGGAGTCTCAGAGCGGCTTACAAACTCCTTTCCCTTCCCCTCCCCGCAACAGACACCCTGTGAAGTAGGCGGGGCGCTCTGACACAAACTGCTCTTTTTCAAGGACAGCTCTTGTCAGAACCATGGCTTGTCCAAGGTCATCCAGCAGCTGCGAGTGGAGGAGTGGGGAATCAAAACCGGTTCTACCAGAGTACAGTCCGCGCACTTAGCCACTACACCAAACTGGCCGGCCTTGTTGCCAGCGAGGTGAGTCTTCTCCCTGCTTGCTGGCAGGAAGAAGAGCCGGCACACACAAGAAAGCCACGCCCAGCCGTTTTAGAGATTCAAAGCTTGTGGAAACTTTCAATTTTAGGGTCAGAATTGACTGGTGCCAGCGGAGCACCTGGCACACACTGTGTTTTCTGAGCATGAAAGAAGAAGAAAAAGAGATTGGATTTATACCCCGCCTTTCACTTGGGAGTCTCAGAGCGGCTTACAATCTCCTTTCCCTTCCCCTCCCC